TGACCCTAAAGTCAAAATAATCAGAATAGAATTCTGCAAACAAAACATCCAAGCTCAAACACTTACGGGCAGACTGAGTAAGTGCATAGAACAAAGACGAATTAATTTGTGGTTACTACTAAAAAGCAGGTCATTCCCTGTGAAAACGTTCCTTCTAACAAATTCTAACAATCCTTCTAAATGTAAATATATTGAAACAATGTTTAATTCTATGTGATAATGCTAGACTTTTAAACAATTTGGAACTGCATTTTACTTGAACAGTTTTATTTCCAGGTACAGTGGGTCAGATCACCAGCAAAAGTGGAACAGCGACTGAAGTTTAAATAATAAAAGCCATTTCTTTCTATGACAAGCGGCAAAAGTTAGCCTATAGAAGAACGTTAATCAGCTTAAAAAGGTTTTGTAACATGTAACACCCAAAAATCTTGTAACAAGGTTTTGTAACATTTCAAAACACAAATTAAGATATTTTTAATGAAACCCGTGAGGTTTCTGTCCCTACATTGAAAGTCCAGGAAACCAAAAAAGGTCATGACATAAAGACATTGTGGAGAGGGGCCAAGATGGCGCCTGTTTAAGTCGTGTTGTTAGTTGCTCTTAAACATTAATGTGTAATTCTTGACCTAACGTGTCCTCATGTGAGTACAAACAGTATTAATTGATATAATTTGACTAATTCAAGAACCCTTATTACTGGATATATATTTTGAGGATGATGGATGTCTCACATACGTACTTTATTGAGAATTAACCTGCTAGCTGAGAAGTGAAGGTTAATTCTCAATAAAGTATTATTCTTGTCATAAAACTAATTTCAACAAATGGAAGATGGTTTAGCAGTGAAACGTGCATGATTACGTACAGACACCTATGGAGGAGGATAAAGTCGCTGTTACATAATTTCTACCTGATACTCCTACCAAGAGTCCACAGTCGAACATGCGACGCCACACTACAGAGCCATCAAATGCTGTTAGAAGCAATTTAGAAGCTAGGGAAAAAACAAGACGATTTTTTAGAGAAATTGACGGCAATTGAAAACTCGGTCTCATGTAGGCTAACTCAAGCCGCATCGCTGATCTCGGAGTTAAAAGGGACGCGATCTCTGACAAGGCAGACCTTGCTGTTACTAACTCCAGTGTGATGAAGGATGAAGTCACGTCCTTAAAGACCGAAAACAAGCAACTCTAGGAAAAGCTGGATGAATTGGAGGCATACAAAAGGCGGTGGAACCTTCGGATTGCCGGTATCCCTGAAATGGTAGGTGAAAATGTAAAGATGGCTGTGATGGAAATATTACGTTATGTTTCACCAGGTCTGGCAGATGTTCTCCAATCGACGTGGCCCACAGGCTTGGAAAGGAAGGTCACTCAGCTCTGTCGCTTTATTGTACAGTTCATCTCTCGTACGCACCATGACCGCATTTGGGCCGACGCAAAGCATTCCAAAATTCTCAAACAAAAGAACATCAGGATAATGGAGGACTTAACACAACGTGCAAGGGAAGCTCGAAATAAACTGTGGCCACTCGTGAATCAAGCCAGACTTGAAGGTAAACGAGCAGGGTTTCAGGGTTCAATTTGGTTATCTAGTGACTCTTTAGCGGTTATAATTCGTAGCGAGGTCTGCCATCCTCATGGGACTGTTTTTTGTTAGGGTTCAAGCTAGACTAGAAATATAAAAAACTGGTTCATATTAGAAAGTTCTAATTTTATTTACTAAACAATTTAATTTGGTTATAAGTTCTTGTTTGTTGTTTTATGTCAATTAAGTTGACTTATTTTTCACTTAATGTTATAGGGAAATCAGAAACTTAACCAAACGCAAAGCTTTATTTCTATTTTGTAAATCGAAATGCAGAGATGTCTATTTTTAGCAAATGGTTGTTCTGTAGGCAAAAGTCAGTGACTTGAATTTGATGCGAGCAGCAACTGGCAACCAGTGCAATTTTGTGAGGAGAGGAGTGACTTTTCGGCTTGATAAAGACCACTCTAGCTGCAGAATTTTGGATCAGTTGCATGAGGTTTGATAGTGCAAGCTGGAAGACCTGCCAGGAGAGCATTACAATAGTCCAGTCTGGATAGAACAAGTGCTTGGACTAGGAGTTGTGTAGCATGCTCTGATAGGAAGGACCTGATCCTCTATAATGTTGTATAAGGCAAATATGCAGGACTGGGCAGTTCTAGCAATCTCATCAATCACAACTCCAAGGTTCCTGGCTGACCTTGATGGAGTTATGGATGATGAACCTAGCTGAATGGAGAAGTTGTGGTGTAGTGTTGGGTTGGGCGGGACCACAAGCAACTCAGGCAGGCTGAGATGCGAGCAGCTACCGTCGGATCATCAGGCTGGAATGAGAGGTAGAGTTGTGTGTCATCAGCGTAGCAGTGATAGGAAAAGCCATGTTTCTGAATCACAGATCGATGTCATGTAGATGGAGAAGAGAAGTGGTCCAAGCACTGAGCCCCGAGGCACCCCAGTAGCTACATGTTGGGTCTTAGACACCTCACCCCTCCATGACACCCTGAACGACCTACCTGAGAGGTAAGACTTGAACCATTGGAGTGCGGTCCCCGAGATGCCCTTCGTCTTTAGGATTGACAGGAGGATCTGGTGGTTAACTGTGTCAAAGGCAGCAGACAGATCCAGCAGGATGAGAACTGAGGATTTGGAAGCTGGTCTTGCCAGTCTTAGAGCTTCAATTACTGAGATCAGGGCTGTCTCAGTTGAGTGTCCGCTTTTGAAACCAAACTGGTTGTTGTCCAGGAGGTTGTTCTGTGAAAGAAAGGAAGAGATCGGGTTGAAAACAACTCGTTCAAGTGTCTTCGCGACGAATGGAAGAAGGGATACCGGTCTGAAATTTTCCAGATGTGCTGGATTTAGAGTGGGTTTCTTAAGCTGTGGGGTTACCCGAGCCTGCTTAAATGCTGTGGGAAAAGTGCCCATGTGAAGAGAGGTGTTTATGATGTGCGTGAATGCGGGCACAACTGAGGAATAAATGGCTTGAAGTAGAATAGGATCAAGAGGACAGGGGGCGATTGGAACATCAGATAACTGGGGGGCAGAGGGTGTGGCGTGGGCTAGCCTGGAGGAAAGGGGGCAGAAGTTGTCCAAGCAGGATGTTAAAGTGGAGAAAAGAGTATCAGTTGCACTGTTAGTTTCTAATGTTGAGAGCTGATCAAGTGGAGGAAGTGTGGATGAGACTAATGAGGATAGGCAAGAGGGTGAGAATGAGCGTAGGTTTTGCCGAAAGGTGACCTCTGGAGGAGTTTGTGTTGTGTTCTGAGGCAGGTTGAGGTTGAGAGTGAGGAGGAAGTGATCTGAGGTGTGCAGCGGAGTGACCAGCATATGGTCAGTGGAGCAGTTGCGCGTGTACATAAGGTCTATTTGTTTACCTGATTTGTGAGTAGCCGCAGTAGATACTCGTTTGAGGTCGAATGAGGCAAGCAGAGTGGAAATCTGAAATAAAATAAAATAAAATTGTTTTTTGATTTTTATAAGGCTTTCGATACCATGGAGCACAATTTATTGTATCAAGCCTTATGTCAGTTTGGTTTTGGCCCAACCTTTACAAATATGATCCACACATTGTATAATAATATCTCAAGTAGTGTTTCTTTATCCGGCGGTACATCCTCTCGTTTTGTTATCCAAAGAGGTATTAGACAGGGATACCCTATTTCCCCGTTTTTATTTTTATTAGTAGCTGAAACTTTAAATCTGTAGATTGCTCTCGAATTAAAGGTATTGATAGGAGATTTCTCTTTAAGTATTAGTCAACTCACTGACTACACTTGTTTATTTCTGAATAACAAAGATCAGGTCCCTGTTATTCTAGAGGCACTTAAACTGTTCTCTGATGCCTCAGGTCTATCAATGAACTAGGATAACATTTATAGCTGTTCACCATCTAAATGATTCAAGTATATCTGGAATACAGGTTAAACAGGTAGTTAGATACTTGTAATTAGCAAATCAGCCTCAGAGAGAATTACAGAAATTTTTTCACAAAGATTACAAAAAAACTAGAAATATTTTTAACTGTTGGGTCCAAAGAAATTGATCTATTCAAGGTCGTGTATTGATTTCCAAGGCTGAGGGGATCTCTAGACTTGTATATCCTGCATTATCTCTTTATGTAGACTCTAAAATGTGTACAGCAATTGACAAAATTTTATTTAAATTTATGGAGAGGCAAGACAGAGTATGTTAAAAGGAAAACCATAATTAGAAGTGTATCAGAAAGAAGTGATTAAATGGTTTAGATTTTGAAATTATTAATAATATATTTAAAATTAACTGGATCAAGCACTGTCTTTGTGAGAAGAAATTTCCATGGTTCTTTATCCCCAAGCTCATCTTTAATAAATGTGGTGGTCTTAACTTTTACTTGCTTGTGATTTTAAATGCACTAAACTTTTAAGTTGTCCAATTTTCACAAACAAGCTTTGGATTCGTGGAAATTGGTCTACTAACACAATTTTACTCCCCATTCCTGTGTTATTGGAATAATCAATATATATATATATATTGTGTTCCTCCCAGTGGCGTTCCTCTACAGATGTAATACTAAAGATATGTTGTCTTTATTTTTAAGGTGTCGCCTAATCTTTTGATGTTTGCCCCGTGAAGCCGCATGGGAAGCGCTCGTGCCGCCTGCTGTTGCTATGGTAACCTCATCTCGCGACCGTGACTACTGTTCGCGAGAGTCAGTTTAGCGCTCTAACTAACTTTACTGAAACGTTGTTTGAAAACGCTTATTGAATGTACTATGTAAATGTACTTATTATACTTATGTAAAACTAAAAATATTTCTGAGAACCATTACCTCGCACACTTGATACCACTAGTATGCAATAAGAGAAATTGGACTCGAGTGACAGGCGAGGACCAGGGGCTCGAGACGCTGAGAGGGCGGGGAGGGTGTTTCTCAGGACTGAACGAACGAACGAAGTACTACACAAGAGAGAGAGAGAGAGAGACAGAGAGACAGAGAGACAGACAGACTTGCGCACTTGAACTGGGGCTGTGTGGGAAAATAGTGCACAGGGGCATATGCGAGCGGCTCGAGCTTTAACCTGAGACCTAGGATCCATCTCACGACTCGGGTCCAGCTGTGGATGTCCAGCATCTTTTGTTTCTGGTTTTCGTTCAAGCTTTTATAAGGGGAAACAGCCTTGAGTCTTTACAGTTTCAGTAAACCTAAAGAAAGGTTCATTGAAAGTGATCCATTCAACATGGAATTACCGGTTCTGGTTTTAGTGGCGGTGATCTTGTCTTTCGGGACCAGCACTAAACTGAATGTGCCGCGTCTTCGCCTGTCATACAAAGGTAATGCGTTTAACTTATAGCTATATATATATATATATATATTACTCATCTTTACAAACGGAACACAAAGCCAAAGATCTAATGAAAATGTAAAATGACCTGGTTAAGATTTACCCGACTATGAGGAGAGAACTCGGTAAATAGCTAGATTAATGATTGTTTTATTTTCACAGTTTGAGTGTTAAAGTTAATGTTGCCATCCCTCGGTTCATCTTGTGTGTGAATTAGTCTACATAGGTTACAGGTGCGAGTGACAGGAATGGCAATCAGAATCAGGAAAAAAATGTTCGTTGCGAAGTAGTGTGCAACACACATTAAAATTGTAACGGACGCTTCCATTAGATTAGGCTACTCAAATAGGCAACAGCTCCAGCATAACACAAATCATGGACGTGTAGTAGGCTATAGAGAATGCACATACGATATATGCAGAAAAGAACTAAGTAGTATGAATAAATATGAATTTAAATAGAGATTATACAGTGTAAATACTGTGTGTACTGTAAAATGTCAACAATGTTTAACATCGTTGTTTACATCAATTTAACCTATTTTTTTTTTGTCACAAATAATGTCTTTATTTCTTACTTGGTTGTATGTGTTTCAATTATATTTTCATCATTAGTAGGCTATCAAAGTGGTCTAAAAAAGTGAAAAAACTGATTGTCACTTAGATTTTTCTAAGGCAGTTTTTACAGTGTGTGAAGATACCTGCACAGAACAATGTTTCCAGTAAGCTGTTTCCCCTGTAGCTTTTCGCATTTATATTGCCCTCTCCACGCATCCTGCTTTGCACATTGAGTATTTTTTTTTAAGCTTTGCGCACAGCCCCTCTGTGACCTTATCAGATTCAAATCTGAGCGCCCTGTTCAGCTCGTTTACAGCGCCGTTTCCGTCTTTGCATGGCAGTGAGCTTCTCTAGAGATGTTGTGGCTGGTCTTTTTTAAACTGTGGGAAAAAGCTACGTCAGGACTCCGGGCTACTGTTTCAGCTGTTATCCAAAACTCCGGGATCCTCTTGCCTCTAGCTCTCCTGGCGCGCGCTCACATCCCCGCGGTCAGACTCTCAGCGGTGCGCGAGACAGTTTGCGCTTCTTCTTCTTTTTTTAAATCGCACTTTGCCTCTCTATTATCGGATTTATGGAGTGCAAGGAGAATGTTGCAGTGGCCTGGGCGAGTTTGAGATGTTTTAACTCTTGCTATTAGACGCTGCAGCTTTAAAATTATTAAAGGAATAGTTCATACAAAAATGAAAATTCTGTAATCAACTCACCCTGATTTCGTATGACTATTCAAGGGACACAAATTAGGTGTTAAATTCCGGTCCGTTGTTCGGTTCGCTTGCGAAATCCAGTAATTTCCATAGGAATCAATTCACTTCGTGAATTTCGCGTAAAGGCGAAATAAATCAGAAAGTTGCTTGGTTTGACAGCGATTCTGTGTTCGCTGTGATTCATACATTGCTACGGTTTTTTTTTTTTTGCCTGCAAAATTTCTCTAATTTTGGAATAACGTTTCATTAACCACATATAATGAAAAAGTTGTGTTAAGAGTGAACCATAGAAACAGACCAACAGTAGGCTATTGTGCTTCCGGACAGTGCAAACTAGCATATACTTTTGGCTATATTTTGATATATCACAGAAAAAGTCATTGTAAAACCTTTTTTCCCCCTGTGTGTTCCTTGTAAGAATAAAGTCATGGGTTTGGAATGAAATATGGGAGAGCAAATGATAATTTTATTTTATTTTGGGATTAACTATGCCTTTAAGAGAAATTTTGCTTAACCCTAATTTACCTGGAGGGTATCAGGAAGTTGGTTTGCATTAAGTGTTTATCAGTGCCTCAAAAGTTCTTTTCATTAATGATTATAAGCTGAATGGAGTGTCCAGTTTCCCTCCAGCGGTGTGTGAGTGCGTGACTAGAGCGCATCTGTGCAGAGTTTAATGCAGTCATCTAATGCTCACCCAGTCCCTGCGTGGAGCTCTGATTGCATGTAATCGGCCTGTGTTCTTCTCCATGGACGCGCTATTAACCTTGATAATGATCAGCCTAGAGATACAGTTGAACTATATATTTGCATTTTCACCACTGACGGGTAATGCCTGTTGATCATTCTGCCAACTGAAAAGGCTAAAGCATGCACACACACTCATCAAGCTGTCAAAGCTGTATGGATTGGTCTGGAGGGAGCATGTTATGTTTTGAATGGGAAATGAGGGACGGCCTGTATATGCCAGTAGCTGGGCATTAAGTGTGTGTGTGCGGATCTGTGGGGTCCCTTGGTGGGTCAGTTGTGTGTGCTAATTTAGGAGAGGACAGTTTTTCCAACCAAGCTCCCTCACTCACTTTCACACCCGCATGCATTCATATGTGCACACTGGCACACTTTTCTCTTTTATGGTTGAACATACACAGAGACGCATAGGTGGGCGGATCTGTGTTTGTTTTAGTTTACATGAATGAATTAATGCGTTTATTTTTTTAGCGTTGCCCAGATGTTTGTGGAGGGTTTTGTGAGGTCTGGCTAAAGAATCTGTCACTAAAAGAATGTTTGATGATTCTTTGGTTTCGTTCACATTCTCTCACTCCCTAAATATTCCCAGCTCCCTGGAACCGTTTGTTTGAGAGAGAAGGCCACAGAGTTTCATGTCTGTAAGATGGATGTTGTGAAACTCTCCCATGAGATTGGGGTTCTAGATTAGGAATTGCTCTAAATATTAAAGGAGCTTTGAGGGATGTTTGAACTGAAACTGCCAGACTAGCGACTGAATTAGACACGCTTCCTCTTACCAAAAGCCCAATTACAAAGATACAGTTGTGCCATTGAGAATATTGTAATCAGAGACGAATCAGGAGAACAGCAGCTTGTAGCAAAATATCCATTCTGACACCAACTAACATCTGCTTATAACAGCTGAACATGGCATTTAGCTTGAACGGTCCGCATCTCAGATTCTCTCATATGGCCAGCTTTATGAATCTGCACAATGATTGAGTGGCAGAAAGTGCTTTAAAGTCGTTTGGTTGGCAAAGCAAAGTACCTGCATGACTTTTTTTTTTCCTGTTTACAGATATCTCAGGGCCTAATTCAGTCAAATCTGTCAAGTAATAGGAATATTTTCTGCCATACCAGAAAAAATGATCTCACAGCACCTTTAATCATGCGTGGTCAAGGGTAGACCTTTGAAGGGCATATGCCTTATCTTTCAGATAAAGATAAATATTATTTATATAAAGTATAGCCTATTAGCCTGCACAGTTTTTCTGTAGTTGATCTGCAATCTTCAGAATGTGTAATTTAATATTTGAAGCATTATAAATACACTTCTTTCAAAGCAAGCTCTCAACCCTAAGGTCAATTATAGTCACAAGTAGCCTACATGCCAGACAAAGACGAGTTACAATTGCATTATAGGTCTGTAATGGTGCGATCAAGTTCGTATTTATGGGTGGGAACTGGGAAGTCATAATTACGACGCCAGGTGTAAGGTTGCGATGTACATCAATTTAATTCTACTTCTAGAAAATGATTAATAAAGAACGTGCATTAGATGTTTTGTCTTATCTTTTTATTAAATTTATGAAGGTGCTGTAAACTGAATGATATATTTTATCGTAATTGTACAATACTGTCTTACTGTCATAATGTGTACATGCAACTTAGCTAGTTATAATGTAAGTTTAAAAAATGTATTTCATACATTTCACATCAACAACAGCATTGTGTCCTCCATGCTTTCTCACACGCCCTCAGAACAATCCAGAGTTTCCCACTTGTAATTTTGATGGTGTTCATTTGCGTTGTACGAAAAAAAACAAAAAACTTGTAAATACGATCTTTTACAGTTCTGACTTCACACATCTTTAGATCGATGTCATAAAACAATACAATTTCAGTCTAAGTTTTAGATCTAACTAAAATGAAACTTTTAAAGTGCATGTAAATGAACTGATTCACAGATTGTGTGCAGGTCCAAGTGGAGTTCAGAGAAAATATGGTGTGTGAAGTAGGAAAAAAATAGGTGGGCAAAACTGAAACCTATTGAGGAAATGAATATCGGTCTGAAGGTTTAGGTCAAAAGCATAGAGTTCAGACACATACTTACACACTATACACACACACACAGGAGACAAGAATTCAGTGTTTGTGCTGTGTAAAATGGATGCAGGTGGAATTTTAATGAAAGCACACATTCCCTCCATCCTTGTGGAGTCAGTCAAGAGTTTGCGGTGTAACGCGGCTGAACAATGCAGCATTGTGGCGGTTTCCTCCTGCGTTGAGGGGAGTTCGCAAGCTTACCGCAATTAGGTCACAAGCCCTGGACGTGATCACACGCACTGATAACGACCACAACAGCTGCTGGTCACTTAAACTATGATTTGATTTTTTAACCCCTTAGCTGATGACTGTCCTGGGAGCCGTCACACGAACACATGCACACTTAATTGCAGCTATAATGATCTCGAGCACACTGCACAAATACAGCTGCCCTCTGTACACACTAAATGCACACACACTAACATATGGAAACATGGCTGCTAAAAGGGATCAGGGTTATAAAGGGCAAAGAAGAAAGGTGTCAGAGAAAGCAAAGAATAAATGGAGGTAAATAAAAGGAGGAATGGTGTGGACCGAATTAATTTCACCCACTGTCATATAGATTGTGTGAGAAAGAATTTTTCTTTTATTCTTTCTTGGTAAATGTGTAAACAAGTCGTGGAGTCTGTGTGTGTAGCCATAAAAAGGTGTTTTGTCTCGCTGCTGGAGTCTCATTGTGTGCGTGTGTGTACAGAGGGGAAGGCAGTGACTCTCTCATGGCTGCTGTCCAGAGGGGTTTATCTAAACCCTCATGTTCTGATTCTTGCTTTGGGGAGAGAGGGGATCAAGAGAGGCCAAGGAGATGGAGAAGACAGGGGGACTAAAAGAATGAGATTGACAAAAGGAACGCTGAAAAAATAAGCTGGAAAAAGTGGGTTTGAGGGGGATGAGGGGCTTTT